CCTGGAATAAGAGGCATGAGAGGTGCACCAGGACAGCCAGGTGCTCCAGGAAGAGACGGACAGCCAGGATTGCCAGGAGAAATGGGATTGCCGGGACCAGCAGGTTTTTTAATTTTATAATTTTATAATTTCCCCGCCTTCTTATCACTAAGTGTTACTCTCAAGACTGTGCTAAAAAGCAACTTTTTGCAGGGGAATCAGGAGGTCCTGGTGTACCGGGAGGAAATGGCGACGATGTCGAAAAGCCAATGCCTTCAAAAGGCATTCGCGGACCCCCTGGACAGGTCGGAGCACCAGGTCCAGTTGGCGCACCCGGAAAGAACGCAACTAAAGGTCCTCAAGGAGCCTTAGGGGAACCAGGAATTCAAGGTGCTGCCGGTGCTCCAGGTCAACCGGGAACGCAGGGTACGCCTGGCTTAGAAGGTAAACCAGGAGAAGACGCAGAGGTAAGAGTTTCAAAAACATTCTTACATTTCATAGAAACGAGCTAGATACGTCAAACAAACGTTGCACCTTCATAACCACGAACGAACGAAAATTTTAGTACTGCCCTTGTCCTGTGCGGTCCCAACGATCAATACCAGAGAGGAATGGCAAGCAGCTAAACAGACGCGACGGCATGGTGCGCTAACTCCATCGAAACACGCCCAAGAACTCCAACAATAAAGTTTTTTATCAGTAAAACTTTACATCTCATGGAAGTAAAACTTTCTTTGATCTACAATAAACCGATATGAATTAGCAAGACTTTGGAGCAAACTAATTCCGGCTAGAAAAACATCGAAACAATCAAAAGTAACTGCAAACTTTCAAACAAGCAAAAATAAATTAATTTTTTAAAACGTAATTATTCATTTTTTACAATATCTTTTGCTTCTACAAGTGAAGTGTGGTTTAAATATCTCATCGGTATAATGAAGTGACTAGACGAGATAGCTTATTTTATAAAGATATTAGAAAAAATGTTAATAGACGAAAAGCCAAGTGTCGCAATAAATTACATAACAAAAAATTCAGACTCAGTGAAGGAATAAAGCTCTAAATTGTTTCTTTATGGCTTCTGGTAATTTACTAGATAATGAGAAGTGTAGATGGTTTGTTCTAAGAAAATGAAACTGGCAAGGGTCGAACACTATAGATTTATAATTAAAACTTACCTCCATGCTAAAAAAGAAACCACAACATCTTTCAAAACCACTTTTTCGATTTGCAAAAATGCGAAACAAGACCTGATCTCACAACTCATAAAGAAACAGTACAAAGCGCAGGGTTCGGAGAAAGTCCCATGCAAATCAAATGCAACAAGTACAGTTAAACCGCAACCAGAGTTTTTGAGAAAGGCATAAAAGCCCATACTAAAGCACACCTCAAAACACGCATAAGGTTTGATCAGTTGAATCTAGCCCTACTTAAAAGATACTTTTGGTCTTGGCGGTATTGCTGGTATAACTTCTGAAGAACTCTCAGAATAAGTAGGATTTTGGGAGAAACCGTCAGCGGCCAAAGAAAGATTTTCTACATCTAAACACGTTGAAGAGCACAACTCTAAAGAACTGGCAGGTCTCGGAGGTATGAAAACATTTAAATGACTTTTAAAATTCCCCATGCAAGGATCACTAGGGTGAGATAACAATAAACCGCTTGAAGGATCATGCAGCGGTTTCCGAAACAAAGACTCCGACCCGTGGTTGGTAAGAGCTGCAGCACTGTTTACATCTGACGCTGCAACCGCCTCACTAGCTCCATCATAGGTTCGACGAGGTGAGGCAGTATTGACGTAATCGTCCTCTTCTAAAAAATATGAATTTAATAATCCTAACAAGAGCATACCAGAAACGTAACGTACATTAATAGGGAATCAAAAATGTCTACCAAAAACCTGAAAGCTAATCTTTTTCTAGATAATAGTGAAAGAACTACATGAAATTCTAGAATGTTGCAACAAGTTTCTTAGAAGGGTGGCAGAATATGCAGCATACCAACAATAATACAATATCAAAACTGTGTGAATAAACTTTTAAAAAACCCGCTATCGATTTCAGAGTGCGCTTCGAAATTAACAGTAAAGAAGTTCACAATAAAATCGCAGACACGGCGCACACCATTTTCTTGAAGCTGTTTTCTTAAACTAAATCAATGTTCAAAATTTGGAATAATGTTGAAAATTACGTCCCTACAGGAGTATGTTCTTGAAACTGTAACTACAGTTAGAACTGAATTAAGTAAGCTAAAACTGCTTTACAGTGAAACGTTTTTATCTAGAAAAAAGTTCTCTTGAACAGGTAAACTGCTTTAACAAAGATGACACAAAAACTGCATAGTTGTTCATAAACTTCTGTAAGTTTTAAAACTGTCCTAAGATTATTCAATACCAGAATTAAAAAATACCTTTATTCAAAGACAGCAGGACAGCAAAAAACGCTGTCAACAAAAAAAACTCTCAGAAAAATCCTACTCTGATCTTACTCTTTTTTTTCTTAATAAATTTACATCAAAAACCAAAATGCTCCGTATGAGTGACAGACCTGCTAAAAACTTCTGTTATACACAAGCATTATATCCTCACTCTTTCAGACCTACACTTATTTCTTCCCTTCTTTTAACCATTTTTTGACTTCGCATTTCTATTATATGATAAGACCATTTTAAAATTCAACTATTTTGTACATGAACAAATACACTCTGTTTACAAGCATACGAAGTTTTTCAGTACCAATAGTTTTTTGAATAAATGATTTTTCTGCTCCATTTATGCAGTGTCCTAACAGTTCCGAGCTCCCTGCCTTGAAGGACGAAACGCAACAACAAAAACTCCATCCCATTAAACAGTTTTAAAACCAAATTTCGAACTTTTAAAAATAGCGCAAAAAAATAAATACCTTCTAATTCAAATTGAAAACCAGCATTCTTTGGAGACAACGGAATTTTCTCACTGTTATCTGTCTTGCTAGTTAGTAATTTAGTGATATGAAGATAATTCAAATTTATCCAGTCAGGTGTGCGTAAACGAACACGCAAAATCTGTTCTTTCACATCTAAACCATCCATGCTTAAGGCTGCAAGTGCCATTTCTCCACTTTCCAGAACCAACCATAGATCTTTCCCCTCAAACCTAAAGCAAAAAATGTAAGGAAAAAAACTATTTTTCTATAATAGTGGGCACAAATAAACCGTAAAAAAGCATATATCCGTGAGAACGAGGCTAGAGCATATAAAAGGAGCCCTAAAGAAAAACGAGGCACTAAGGATTTCATCACGATGGCGTGGAAAATTATGCTCAGAAATGTGATAGCGATAATCAAAAAATGTCTTTAAAAATTCCAGAGATTACAGACAGATAACGGCTTATGCTAAAAAATCCTATGTAAAAAATAATCAAACCGTACTTGCTCAACAACGGAGTTATTCCTAAAAGCGAGAGCTTTTCAAGAACAACATAATACATTTTCAAGGGGAACATGTCAGTTCCGTCTACTGTAACAATAACGGTTCCGTCAGGAGGGCCTATAGAGCTGAAAGCAAGAGAATGATTATTTTTATCTTTTTGAGTATAGTCTTTAACTACATATAGTTTTAATGAGAATGCAAAAGGTACGCAATAATGTCGTTGTAGACCGTCTCGCACTTTACTGGATCCAGTTTCCAAGCAGTTACTTTGAGTAGAGCGCTCACTGGACGGTGATCGGACGTCTTCAGTTCGGCTCTTCCATACCTATAGTTCAAAGGAAATTATAAAAACTTGTGATTTAGTACTGTTACGCCTTTAAAAGTTCCTTTTTTCAATTTAGAAATTTGCAAAACTAGTTTACCAATATCTAAGTTTCGCAGCTTATTTGTAAAATTATGTCAAGTCTTCCACTATCACAAAAATTATAACAAAAAAAAAATAAATAAATAAAAAGAGAAATAAACCTATTTTAACCTCAACAGCTGAACGGTAGCACGCTTTGAATTTTTGAAGAAAATTCTGTCAGTCCATGCTGGAACTCTACATTTTTCTGATGTGTCGTAGTCGTCACTAAATGTATCGTACTTATAAGTCGGGGCAAAATTTAGAGGACCCTCATGAAAACCATGAAACACCTGAAAAAATTTCTTTAACTGAGGATATAACACGACATTAAAATTGACAGTGCAGGTGAAAAAGTGAAACTGATACAAAAACCTACAAAGATTGACAGATATAAGTAACTGTTTGAACAACATAATTAAATAAAAAAAAGAAAAAGAAACAAACTAGTCCTATAGCCTTCTGCTGCGTCAATTGGTCATTTGGTGCAAGTTGAGCAAACAGCTGTGCCTGAATAGCTTTTTTTACCTCATCGCCAGGTAATGAGATCCTGTAATTAAAATCTCCCATCCACACAATTACATCACTCGACAAGATGTGTCGGCCCTAAATGTTAATTTTTGCAGAAATAAAGCTAGTAATTTTTTAAAAAGCCGTTAAAGTGACACAACAAATGTGCAACTAAAAAAAGTAACTAAATCTCTATGTCCAAAAGTACAATATTATTATAATTTGATAGTTAACTAACCATAGGAAATCGAATTTTTTTCAAAGTTGCCGCAAAGTCTTCATTCCGATCTCGCACTTCATTCTGTCCAGCAGCAAAATGGGAACAAACAATACACAGCGATGTAGAATAGAGTGTAAAACGGAAAGCTACTGAGCCCTTATTACCAGTAGTGCCACCCATTCCTGAATATCAGAGTATACTTTTTTGTTTAATAAGCTCTCACTATCTTCCTTCAGGGCATAATTCCAGGAAACTATTCAACCTTCAAAAACTACTTCTCTCGATTATCCTAAATAATCATTACAATAAAAAAATTATATTCTAGACCTGTTTTGGCGCTGCTAACTGAAAAATCGCGTACTACAGGCAGCAAATATGGCTGAATGAAAATAAATAGGCAAACGCCAACTAGCTGTTCACACCCAAGTAAAACATACTCTCCACGTTTGGCTAAAGCATCCATGAGGCCTTTACACCATAGTTTTTGATTTGTTGTACTAAAAATGATTTAATTTTATGTTGCAATCTTACTGATTACAATGACTAAAAGGAATTTAAAAAAGTAAAGAAGTAAAACAAAGAAAACACAACTAAACCTGGCTTTAACAATGTTTGATGCATTGAGGTCGATGAGTTCTTCCAAACCAATGGCGACAATGTCAGCGTGAAACTTTGGTTCATTTAAATTTACTGTAATAGCACGAGCCAGTAAAAAGGAAACAAACACGAATTTTCAGTGAAACCTCAAGACTTTTTTCAAAAAACCTTATGTAATACAGTCAGACCTAAGTATGATATTCAAAAACATATAATAAAGGAAACCTACCTAACATATTATCAGGGAAGAGCCAATCTGACAACGGCGCTTGATTACGGAATGCAATGTTGTGCATATTCTTCCCACCATTTACATTCCAAGTCCCAGCAAAAATCGTAAGTGGCATTTCATCAACCATTTCATTTTCGCGTTCCATAACCCTTTCCAAAATATGGTTGAATTCTGTAAATTTAAATAATGCAGATGGAAAAACGATCGCGTTCCGCGCCTAACTATCAAACATTTCAACATCTTTTCACGAACTCGTTAACCAGTGAAAACACCCTTTTGGTTGCAAATTTTT